GAGGAAGAGCAGAAGGAAGAGGAGGAGAAGGAGAGTCAGTATCCAAGTTTCATAAAGTGAACTGCAAAGGGAGAGGTTATGGACAAGGGACAAGGAAAGAGGCCGATGTGTCTGCTGGGAACGAGCTCGGTCTCTAGCTCTCTGAGCTCAAATTTGTATTTGCAGCCTCAACCTCCCCCATGAATTCCATATCTTACATATCATCTCCTCTTGGACAGCTTAACAGGCAACTCAGACCTAGCTGGTTTGACTCAGTGGATAGAGCATCAGCCTGTGGACTGAAGGGTCCCGGGTTCGATTCTGGTCATGGGCACATGCCTGGGTTACAGGCTCGATCCCCAGTAGGGGGCATGCAGGAGGCAGCCAGTCAATGATTCTCTCTCATCATTGATGTTTCTACCTCTCTCTCCCTCTCCCTTCTTCTCTGAAATCAATTTTTTAAAAAGTATCTCGAATTTAATATAGCCAAAACTAATTATTTCCTGCATAAACCTTCTCCTCCCTCAGTACTGTCCGTATTAGTAAACAGTACCATATATGTATTTATTTGACAAATTACACCATAAAATGTTTTTGTAATCTCATTGAGAACAGAAATTTGGCTATTTTATCCCTAATGCTTACTGCGATATCTAGGACATAGGAGAACATCTATAAATACTTGTTTGAAATAATTATCAGAAAATTAAATGTCTTAATTCTTTTTTAAAACTTTTTTTAATATATATTTTATTGATTTTTTACAGAGAGGAAGGGAGAGAGATAGAGAGTTAGAAACATAGATGAGAGAGAAACATCGATCAGTTGCCTCCTGCACAACCCCTACTGAAAATGTGCCCGCAACCAAGGTACATGCCCCCGACCGGAATCGAACCTGGGACCCTTCAGTCCGCAGGCCGATGCTCTATCCACTAAGCCAACCCGGTTAGGGCAAATCTGTCTTAATTCTAACCTTTTCTGCAGAAATCAATAAGAGAATTAAAACTTCTAATAGCTATAAGACAGTCTAGTTTTAGTCCTTCCTCCAGGTGAAGAAAAAAAAAAAAAGCAAAGAAGAGTATGTATATTAGTGTACTCAGTAAGGAGCAGAAAGAAAAAAAGGTTAGAAAGACAGGGAAGAAAACAGTAGTTTTCTTTATTAATTACACATACACACACACACACACACACACACAATGAGCAAATTTATTTGTGGCCATTATCATGATAGACTACTGACCTGGTGCACAGATTTGTGCACACTGAAAGGAACTTAGTTAGAAGGTGGCTGGTGGGGTGGGACTTGTCAAGACGGGCCGGACACACCCTGGAGCCAACCTCCCATGGTCCCTCCCTGGCCGGCCACACCTGGAGTGGCACTGTGGCTCAAAGGGCATCTGCAGAGTGAGTGGGGTCCCTACGGCAGGTGGGATCCCTCGGCTTGGTCTGCGGGAATCAGGCTGAAACCGGCTCTCCAACATCCCCCAAGGGGTCCTGGAGTGAGAGAGGGCACTCTACAAAGTTACTGTCACAAAGGGTGTGCAACGCAAATGCAAGTGTGCAGTAAACCAGATTTGGGCCAACAGTGCCCCAGCAACAACATAACCCACAGCCGAAGATGGAATCATGTGGCCCCGTGAGGAATCGGGCTTCCTCCTCTTTGGTTCTGGGGTGCGTCACCCGAGAACCGCTGCTGCCAAGTCACTGCACTTGGCAGCCTCCTACGTTCAGCATCTGCCCCCTTGTGGTCAGTGCATGTCATAGCTGCTGGTCGGACAAACACTTAGCATATTAGCCTTTTATATCTATAACTAGAGGCATCCCCATTTTAGTACCATTCTCTATCCCATCCTCAAGAGCCTGTGATGCTCTGAGCCCTTCCAGAATTCCATGGGTGACATGCTTCTTCTTGGCTTCTCCCTTTGCAGGTATTTCTGTTTCCACTGACTACTCCTTAATAAACCAATTAACCCTCACTGATCTGCTTTCCACATTCCAAAATTCTGCTAATTTCTCTTCTGCTGTATCTCTTTCTTTTGCAATCTTTGTCATTGTGGATTTATACCTTTTTATGTTTTTACTGTCATTGTACTGGATTTCAAGCAGATGCAGAAATAAAGGTGTGTATTCAATCCACTATATTTAACCAATAATCCAGAGCTTAAATTTTGGTCAAACTCAAATACTATGACCCCCAACCCTAAATGCTTGCACCTTTCCAATTTCCAAACATCCCACTAAAATCCTATCTTTAGTGCTAACTACACCCATAACATCCTTCCTACTCTCCCAAACTGTAAATAATTTATCTACCTCCTGAATTTTCATAGCATGTTGCTTGTATTTCTTCTGGCATTTACTTAGACCATATGTGCTAAGTTTTAATGACTAATGCTCAAAAATCTCCCGCACTGCCCAAAGTTATTCACTTCACTAAAACACTTTAAATTCTATCAATCAGGGATTTATTTAGTAAAATTTGTGAACTTTTGAAATATAAAAATACTCCTCAAAATGATAAGTCTACCATGTTAGTTTAATAAGAATTTTTCTCTATATACCAAATTATGAACCATGAACTGAGTAAATGTGATATTTGATAAAGAAAGGAAATCTTGCACAATTTAAAGGACTAGGAATCTGGCTCTGAAGAAGAAATAATCAGGATATGGATGGAGGTGCAATGAATAATCTGCAGGTGTTTAAAAGAATAAAACTTCTAATACACACACACACACATACTAGAGGCCCGGTGCAAGAAATTTGTGCGGGGGGCCGGGGGGAGAGAGGGGAGGGAGGGAGCCGTGTCCCACAGCCCAGCCTGCACCCTCTCCAATCTGGGATCCCTCTCACAATCCAGGACTGTTGGCTCCCAACTGCTCGCCTGCCTGCCTAATTGCCCCTAACCGCTTCTGCCTGCCAGGCTGATCACCCCCTAACCACTCCCCTGTCAGCCTGATCGATGCCTAACTGCCCTCCCCTGCAGGCCTGGTCCCCCCCAACTGCCCTCCTCTACCAGCCCGGTCACCCCCAACTGCCCTCCCCTGCAGGCCTGGTCGCTCCCAACTGCCCTCCCCTGCAGGCCTGGTTTCCCCCAACTGCCCTCCTCTGCCGGCCTGGTCACCACCAACAGCCCTCCCTTGCAGGCCTGGTCCCTCCCAACTGCCCTCCCCTGCAGGCCTGATGGCCTACAACTGCCCTCCCCTGCTGGCCATCTTGTGCCCACATGGGGGCGGCCATCTTGTGTGTTGGAGTGATGGTCAATTTGCATATTACCTCTTTATTATATAGGAGAATATATATATATATATATTTCTCCTCAAGGAAAACATCAGGCCAAAAGCATATCAACAATGTTCTCTATTTCACATATATGCCTCAGGCTACATTTTACCATCTAGAAATATGGTCTTGCCTGCTATTTAAACCAATTTCATCTAAAATGAAAAAGAGAAATGTGGAAAGTTATAGCATGAATTCTGTCACCAAGAGAGAGATAATTTAGAGTTACACACCATTTGGGTAGATAGTAGATCCAATAATCTATAATAATAAAAGCATAATATGCTAATTAGACCGGACAGCCAGATGTCCTTCCAGACAAAGCCACGGAGGCTGTGAGGGCTTAGGGCAGGCGGCCGTGGCAGCTGTGAGGGCCGAGGGCAGGCAGCCACAGCGGCTGGCAGTGGCAGCAGCGGCATGGTGATGGGTGTGGCGCCTTCCCGTGATTGGCCCGGTCACCTCCCGCAGAAGTGTCAGTAGGACATCCCCTGAGGGCTTCTGGACTGTGAGAGGGGCAGGCTGGGCTGAGGGACCCCCACCACCAGTGCATGAATTTTGGGGCACTGGGCCTCTAGTCTATCCTATCTAATAATAGACAAGCATGGTAATTGACCATACCTTCGCTACGCCTCCCATTGGCTAATCAGCACGATATGCAAATTAACCCAACCAAGATGGCGGCCGGCAGCCACGCAGCTGAAGCGAGCAGGAAGCTTGCTTGCTCCAGTGATGTAAGAAGCCAAGGTTCCCCGCCTGCCGCAGCCCAGCTCTGAGCTCTGAAAGCAACAAAGTTTCAATTATAGAAGCTAAACAAACCCCAGATACCTGCTTTCAGCAGGCCACGCCCACAGAGCTGGAGCGAGCAGGAGCTGGCTCTTAGCTCCAGTGATGGCAATGAAGTTTCAATTATTGAAGGTAAATAAATCCCAGAATAAAAAAAAAAAAAAAAAAAAAAAAGAGAGGCTGGGAGCTTCAGTCACCAGCCAGCCTGAAAACGGCCCTCAGCCCCTCATCCAGACTGGCCAGGCACCCCAGTAGAGACCCCCACCATAAAGGGGGTGTGACCAGCCTGAAAACAGCCATCAGCCCGTCATTCAGACTGGTCAGGCACCCCAGTGGGGACCCCCACCCTGAAGGGGGTGTGACCAGCCTGAAAACAGCCATCAGGCCCTCACCCAGGCTGGGCAGGCACCCCAGCGGGACCCCCACCCTGATCCGGGACACCCTTCAGGACAAACCAGCCGGCCCCACCCGTGCACCAGGCCTCTATCCTATATAGTAAAAGGGTAATATGCAAACTGACCCTAACAGCCGAAGGACTGGGAATGACTGGTCACTATGACACACACTGACCATCAGGGGGCAGACGCTCAATGCAGGAGCTGCCCTCTGGTGGTCAGTGCGCTCCCACATGGGGGAGCTCTGCTCAACCATAAGCCAGGCTGATGGCTGCCAGTACAGTGCTGGTGGTGGGAGCCTCTCCCGCCTCCTCAGCAGCACTAAGGATGTCAGACTGCAGCTTAGGCCTGCTCTCCGCTAGCTAGTTGACATCCCCTGAGGGCTCCGGGATGGCCAGAGGGATGTCTGATTGCCAGCTTAGGCCCAATCCCCCCAGGAAGTGGGCCTAAGCCAACAGGTGGTCATCCCCCGAGGGGTCCCAGACTGCGAGAAGGCACAGGCCGGGCTGAGAGACACAACCCCCCCCCCACCCCCGTGAACAAATTTTTGTGCACCGGGCCTCTAGTATACTATAACAGAGGTACCTCAAAGAATACAGGTGTTATATTTGAAGTACCTCAGGTGTAGTGAGATTTCAAAAGCTGGAAAAAGGAACACCAGAAAAAGAGAACAGGATCGAAACACAGAGTCTGGAGAATACTATAATAAAATAGTTGACCTTGCACTATACTTCTCAGTTCCTTAATTCATTCTTCCTAATCTTTCCAAGTTTCTAAGGATAATATCCTTAAAAGATGTAGTATCAGGGTTTTCCTTTCCTGCAGGTCCATTAAAAGGTGGTAAGTTATATTTCTCAAATTGTGTTAACTTTATTAAAAACACACACACAAAAAAACAAATCTCAGAAAAGACAATCTATACAATCGAGAAAATATTTGCAGAAATAACTCAAATGTCTAGCAGATGATAATAAAATTTGGTACATTCATACATGGACTATATTTTGGCAATAAAAAATAAAATACTGACACATGCTACATGGATGAGTCTTAAAAACATATACTAAGTGAAAGAGCTAATCACAAAGGATATACTATGTCATTCTATTTATATGAAATATCCAGAATAGGTGAATCTATGAAAACAGAAAGCAGAATAGTGGTGCCTAGGGCTGCATGATTTGTGGGGATAATGGGAAGCTAATGAATACAGAGTTTCTTTGTGGCGGGGCGAGGGGTAATGAGAATGTACTAAAATCAGATTGTGGTTGCAATTGCATAACTGAAAAAAATTGAATTGAACATTTTAAGTGGGCAAATTATATAGTATGTTAATTATATGTTAATAAGGCTGTTAAAAAAAATTACCTCTGGACAAAATGGTATCTCTAATACTACAATGAAGTGCTAGCATTGAGAACAGACCTAAAATGTATCTTGCTAATAAAGAGTAAAAATGTAAATTGATTTTGCTTATAGTTCAAAAATATTTTTTTTGTTAAAAATCCTAGTCTTATTTTGTGGTAGATTAAATCTCCCCATTTTCAGGATAGTTTAAAATTTCTTCTAATGTTTATGGGGGCTGAAAAACTTAAACCAACTGGCATAATTATGTTCCTATCCATCTCATTCACCAACTCTACTACACCCAAAATACATTATATATTTGATATATATTTTTTTACCATCTTCTAGTTGAGAAATATAAATGGGATTTCTAATAAAGGGGTAGGAAGCAGTGAAAACATTGGACTGCAAATTTTGTAAAAATTAAATATTTTAAATTTAGTTGCCTTAACAAAAATGAGTTAAGAGGTATGTTTCAAACAATTCTAACAGATAAATTTTATAAGACATTCACCTCTGCAAATATCTGTAGAAAAACAGGCAACTCATTTATCTCTCTGGTCCTGGTTCTTAATCTTCAAAATGAGCATGATAAATTACTGACCTCCAGTGTCCCTTCCAGTTCTAGTAGTCTGTAAATTCTATATGATCCTATAGTCTAGTCAATGCTACCACAATCCTATTTTTAGTATACTGGTTGGTTGCATGCTAGAGCAATAAATTAATCATAAAGTTTATATTTACAATAAGAGTCTAAATTATTTAGGTTTATTTCCAATAGAGTTTATATTATTCAAGTCCATCTCATCACCACTTTCAGCAATAAGTAAAAAGTTAGCCATGTAAAGTAGCCAAGACCAAATAGTTAAGGATTTTTTTTACAGACTACAGATATTTTATTTGTACATAAGCAAAGCAGTACTAAAAGCATATTTATGCGTCCACAATTAGTAAACGTGTTGATTTTCTGTTTAAAGATGCAACAACTCAAATCCTCCTGGGGTAAATAAAGAAAGACAGGCTGAGATATACTAGTACATTTAGGGCTATCACCGTGTCTGGCTGTAAACCTATTTTTTAATCTTTCCTTCCCCCCATATATATATGTATATACTTTATTGCCTTTATGTTTCTGCTGGTTTAATATAATTAGTATACTAAATAGTTATCTGCATTTATTTGGTTTCTAAAAATATATAAAATGCATTGGAATAGAGTTCCTGCAGCTTCAGTGATGACTGGGGGAATTAAGTGGGTAACTCCTATTAATACCAACTGAAGTCTCACATAAACCTACAAGCTCAAAGATTAAATCACTTAGATTTCTGCATCTTTACCACACTGTTTTCTCCACTCACTCCAATCCTACTTTTCAAAATTATACCTATTCTTACACTCCCACCCAATTCCATGAAACTTTTTCAGGTTCTTCACAACAGATGGTCTCTTTTCAATCTTAATAGTACATTATTAATTCCTCTTTTAAAATACTCACCATATTAATATTATTTTTATACTTCTCTTAGATTCACTCATCCCAAATATTCAAATGTCATATTGTAAACTCTCAGACAACAAAGACTATGCCCCACCTGTAATATTAGAATTAGCGATTTCCACATAGAAAATACTTAGCAAAACTGAACTGAATTAAATAAAATGACTCTTTCTGGACAACAGAAAACTTAGAAAAGTAACAATCACAAAGAGTATTTCTTTTTGTCTTTTGATATTCATATACTAAAAGTTACTGGCCTAGCCGGTTTGGCTCAATGAATAAGAGCTTCAGCCTGCAGACTGAAGGGTCCCAGGTTCGATTCTGGCCAAGGGCACATGCCTAGGTTGTGGGCTTGATCCCCAGTAGGGGGATGCAGGAGGCAGCCAATCAATGATTCTCTCTCATCATTGATGTTTCTATCTCTCTCTTCATTCTTCTCTAAAATCAAAAATTGTATAAAAAAATAAATAAAAGTTACTTATATGTTTTACACTAATAAGCATAAATATAGCTAATAAATATTTTAGGTTAAAAAATGCCGTGTAGGTCTATAATTGTTAAACTTTGTATTCCTCAAGATATTTTTTACATACTAACCACAAAATACTTGAGATTTTAAATTTTTTACATTTACAGTGAGCTTACACAAGCTGAACACAACTCTCCAATGCACAACTGCTATTTGTAAATGGGTTTACTATTAATTCCATGTTGGATCTAGCTGTTCAAAGATGTACTGAAAAATTATCTTAAAATAAATCAAATTGCCCAACAAGTAATTATACTTTCACTTATCCCATTATTTTACAAGTTGCTCTAGTTCATTCTTTATTACAAACAGAAGCTTCTTTGTGTCACAATATGAGAGGTAAAATTAACAATATTACTTATGAAGCCTAAAAAGAATGGTATATACTTGAAAAGCATTTTAGTATTTGAATAGTGGTCATATTGCCACATTACCATGGACTCATTCATCCATCCAACAAATATTTACTTAGTAATTATGTGCTAGGCATTATGCTACAAGGCATACCAATAAATAAGAGAGATATACCTATGGGAACAAGTCCTAAAATTGTCAAGAATACATAAACACAGAGCCACTGTGTACAGCTGTGCAAATTGTCCACTGTACAGTTTATATGAACTACATGACAATAGTACCCCTTGCAGTTGTGGTGCCACTCAGCAACCCTTCTCACACATGTAATTGCAGAGGGAGAAATCATATTCCTATGACGTGACCAAACCTGGTTGGTTTAAGAATTTTCATGTAAACCAAGATAAACCAGTCATTGTGTTACTGAACTCAAAGGGTTCACTGCTTGGAGTGTTCTATTCAAGAAAAAGACATAGTTATTGTTAGGTAGTTTTATTTACTTGCAGCAAGTAGTAAAGGAGACAGGGGACTCGCATCCAAAGCTCTGTCTCCTGAAAGGGAAGCTTAGCCATTGCTTATATACACTGTTTGGTTAATTACATGCTGATTTCTTCTTTGTAACTGACTAAACTTACTTTCCCATCAAGCTCATCAGGTGACAGCTGCATCTGCAAACTAACTGCTCCATTTTAACGTATGGCAAGAATAGCACTTAGTAAAAACAGCCCAGACCTTGAGATTCTTGCCCTAGCTAACAATAGTCTTCTATCTTCAACCATTCCTTGAATTTCTAAAAACAAAACAAAAAACAAACAAACCTTGGGATCCTTAATCTTAAAACAGCACACTCAAAAATAGTACCTTTCAGAATGCAGACTGGTGCAGCCACTATGGAAAACAGTATGGAGTTTCCTCAGAAAACTAAAAATGGAACTCCCATTTGACCTGTGATCCCACTTCTAGGAGTATATCCCAAGAAACTAGAAACACCAATCAGAAAGGATATGTGCACCCATATGTTCATAGCAGCACAATTCACCATAGCTAAGATCTGGAAACAGCCTAAGTGCCCATCAGTAGATGAATGGATTAGAAAACTGTGGTACATCTACACGATGGAATACTATGCTGCTGTAAAAAAGAAGGAACTCTTACCATTTGCAACGCATGGATGGAACTGGAGAGCATTATGCTAAGTGAAATAAGCCAGTCAATGAAGGAAAAATACCACATGATCTCACTCATTCATGGATAATAAAGACCATTAGAAACTTATGAACAATAATACAGAGGCAGAGCTGCCTCAAACAGATTGTCAAACTGCAGCGGGAAGGCCGGGGAGGGTTGGGGGGCAGGAGGGAGGGGGGTAAGAGATCAACAGAAGGACTTGTATGCATGCATATAAGCATAACCAATGGACATAAGACACTGGGGGGTAGGGGAGGCCAGGGGATTATCAAGGGCGGGGAAAAAAAAAAGGACACATATGGAATACCCTTTGTAATACTTTAAGCAATAAAACAATAAAAAAAATAGTACCTTTCAGAATACCTAGTTTGCTTAAACTAGCTTAAGTTGATGTCTAGTATTGACATATAAAACTAATTTCAAATGAATAACCAGTGTTTGAGAGGCTAAATATCTTGCACAATAAAATTACGTTGCAGAAAACTAAAACAAACTCCTAAATACAGGGAACAGATTGGCGGTTAGAGAGGAAGGAGGTTGGGAGGTAAGTAAAATGGATGAAGGGGGTCTACTTTGGGGGTGCACTTTGTGCTGTATACCGATGTTAAATTAGTAATCAGAAATATATTATTTTATATAAGGTGCTCAATATATCACATATTTATATAGACCAGCAATTTCCAACCTTTTTCATCACATGGCACATATAAACTAATTACTAAAATTGAGGCACATCAAAATAATATATTTTGCTGATCTGACAAAAAATAGGCATACTTTAGACTGATTTATATGAAAAAAAGTAGTAATTACCTACCCTTTTTGCTCCAAAGTTACTTTTTTTAAAAAATTTGATTTTAGAGAGGGTGGAAGAGTGAGGGGGGAGAAAAAGGGAGAGAGAGAGAAACATCAATGTGAGAGAGATACATCTATTGGTTGCCTCCCATATGCACCCTGACTGGGAATCAAACCCATAACCTTTTGGTACCCAGGATAATGCTTCAACCAACTGAACCACACTAGCTAGAGTCAAAGTAACTTTTTAGAAAATTAGGTGCCTATACTTGTATATAAGGATTTCTGGTACCAAGAATTAATCAATTAGATGCAACCTTATTATGTGACGTGACCAATAAGATGCAACTCTATTATATGACTTATATTCTAGTATTTATGGTTCAAGACAGTGCATTCACACTAGACAGCCATTGTCATGTTAGTTGTTGTCAATCTAAGGAAAATTAGGTCAGTGCCCCCAACTAAATAGTCAAGTATTGCATGTTTTAAAAATTCTTGTGGTACTCTGGTTGAAGGTCGCTAACGCAGACGCATACAACCTGTCAGACATTATACTAGTTATTGCCTTTCAGTCATCTCCGTGGTCTTGTCTTCCTATGCCCATCCCTTACATATTACAGTTTCTCAGGTGTCATTCCTATTTCCACCCCCTTTGGGGGATCCAACTTCATATCTCTTCATATTCAATTGCCATCTATGTGTGGCAACTCTCAAATTTGTATTTTCTGCCCCCTTTTTTGTTCTCTTAGAATCTCTCCTCAAATCCACATATACAGTTCCCCTTTACATACCTACACTTGGGTGTCCAACAAGCACCTCAAATTCAACACATTCCAATGTACATTTAGAATCATCCCACACAATACCATTCCTCCTAAGAGCCATAAATCAGTGAGCAGCCCTACCATCTGCTGAACTGGTCAAGATAGCCCTATTCCTCTCACCAAATCTCACTGCTTCTATATCTCTTTAAAATGGGTCTTACTACTTTGTTTCATCCTCAATATTCCAATAATTCTTACCATGATCAACTCTTGCCTAATATACTACGTTTCTGTGTCTCTAACTATGCTCCCAACTTTCTAATCCATTTGACATTGCTGTCAGAGTGATCTTTCTAAAATGCAAGTGCTCACATTGCTCTCTTACTGAAGGGCTGTACTGGAGTCATCATTGCCCTCCTGTAAAAATTCAAATTCTCTGACATGGTTTGCATGACCATTGGCCCTAACTCTTAATAACTCCCTTTCCTCTTCCCTCAAACTCCTTCTAGGAAAGGCTGTTTCTTTTGTCTGGTATACTAGTACTTTCATCAATCTGGACCAGCACCCATTCCCTTGATCTGGCTAATATCTGAGTATCATTCATATCTCAGTTTGTCTACTTCCTCTGAAAGCTTTCCCTAATTATTTCTGTCCAGATTACTGCCCTTATGATTTCATAGCTCCTCATATTTGACCCTTAGTATTACACTTACTCTACCATCAATGATGTATTTGTCTCTCACTAAACCAAAAACTTATTTATCAGTTTCACTAGCACCTTAGCTACTATCTGGCACACAGAATTACTGAATAAATATTTGTTAAATGACTGAGTCATCAGACTTTCCTATGGTGAATTTGATATTTTTTAAAATAACCTCCAGAATAAGAGTCATGTCTTCATAACATAAAAGTGAATAAGAATTACAGCTAAAAACACAAGAGTCAAATCTACCATACAATACAGTATATTCAAAAGATATAAATGACAGTAACTTCAAAAATTCCATAATTTTTAAATAGTACTCTTATGAGAGTTCCTGTGTGTACTATCATTAATGAAGATCTGAGAAATAATAGAGAATTAACCAAGATGAGACCGGGAAAGTGGGTAGGCTAGGTTACATATTAGCAAAATGACTTCCTGAACATCAGCAACACGATGTGTTTCATACTCTGTCTCAGCAAATACATCACTATCTGGTAAATCAAAGAATCTTCCAAGATAAATGAAACTGAGTCAAAACCTAACATGTTAAATTTAATATTTTCCCAGAGCAATTTCTCAGGTAACAAGTCATGATAACACTTCTGTTCTCCTTTATAAAGCTAGTGAAAACAATTGTATTTTTAACTTACCTGAAGCACCTTCATTATATCACATGCTCAAAAAAAAAAAAGATCATAATTGCACAGTACAAATTTTGATTCTACCAATTGTAAGATTTCATATGATTCAACAAATCTAAATATTCAACAGAGCTATTATGATACTGACACAGTTTCTTTATTCTAGGCTGAAATACTCTCAAATTCAAGTGTAATGATTTTAAACATGCATTTAAGAACATTAAATTATTGTATTCCGAATACTTCCAGGTCATTCAGAGCACCTTTCTCCAATTTTGAAAATTTTTGAGTTATACTGTACATACCTAAAACATCCCATTCAGAACTAATTTTAGAAATTTACTCAAATAAATACTCATTAATGATGCCATTGAGTGTCCATCAAAAGGAGGAAAAGGAAAATTCAAGAGTAAAAGACCATTATAAAACTAATCAAATGAGACAAAAGCAAGCAATTAAAATACAAGACACAAACCACTGCCAATTTGTAGTAGATGTGATTGCAAAAGAATAACTGCACCTAACAAAATATGTAGTCTTAACACAGAGTATAAATAACTATGATATAGCCACTTAAGAGAACAACCTAACATAAATACAGTCTTTAAAAGCTTAAAATGATTTCAAATTTGAATTTAACATAGAAAATTACATGAAATCTGGAAAATAAAAATCTACAGATGGAAGTTTAGTACTGTGTGTTTTACCTCTGGGAGTTGCAGGCTGCACCATGATTCTATTCTTACATTATAAATCTGTTGTGTGGGGAGCGGGGGAGGAATAACTGTGTTACAGAGGGGAAAAAAAAGGATAGAACAAATTGCTGTAAGAACATGTAGTTTTTTAATGTGTCTTAATCTTTACAAGTAACCTTATTCTTTAAAGTTTCTTATTTATATAAATGCACTCATCTATATGTAAAACACCGAATGCCCTTCATGTTTCTTAGTATAAGAATGATCCAGAGAAGTCACTGCTACTTAATTCACATTATTGCATTGTTGAAACCCATACTATCATAAGAAAAATGAGGAAGGGATTCTTTTGTATTTTTGCCTTCCCCATCATAAACCAAAACACCAATGCAAAGCATAAACCACTACATCAAGGAGAGGAGAGGAGAGGGACTGTTGGAACAGCAGCTGTGTTGAAGCTCAGAAAGGACATGCGTTGGCAGATTTGTGAGGCGATGCCTGCAACACAATGTGCCTAGAGATACTCTGACTCCTAAATTTTAAAGAGTCTGTACTTGATGTTTTGCCTTTTAGAGAACTGTATCTCTCCCTGCAACAGAATATTTTTTATTGAGATGTCCCAATTCATCAGTCTTAGTATGTTGCCACTGGGTGGAGGGCTGTTAATTTATGAAATGAAGAAAAATATGGTCAAGATTAACTCAGAAATGAGTAGGTATCATAAAAACACCTCATACCTATGTACTTTACTTCAGTTTAAAGCATTCTCTTTTCATTTAGAATTTACACTCAACTAAAAGTACTTAACAGGTGTAAATGAACTTTGAGGAGTACAAAAGCAGAAATTCACACAGCAGGCTTAGACGTAAATGAAACAATATGTATACATTTACACTTGACACAGAATGAAAGGTGGACAAATACTGAAGATCTAAATAGGTTTTTGGAAAGGATACATAGGAAGCAAAAACTTGACAAAGTTCAAGCCTCTATTTTTTCCTATTTTTTAACATTTATAATTAACTCCTTTTTAATTATAATTAACATAGTTTATTTTCATGTGAACAACACAGTGATTCAACATTAATAGACCTTACAAAGTGAATACTACAATAAGTCTAGTAACCATCTATCACCATAAAAGTTACTATGCTATTTACTTTACTAGAGGCCCAGTGCATGAAATTTGTGCACTCGGGGATCTTTCAGTCCAGCCTGCGCCCTCTTGCATTCCGGGACCCCTCGGGGAATGTCCAACTTACACTTGTAATTTCTACATATTTGCCCTGGCCAGGTAGCTCAGTTGGTTAGAGTGCTGCCCTGATATGCCAAGGTTGTGGGTTTGATCCCTGGTCAGGGTACATACAAAAATCAACCAATGAATGCACAAATAAGTGAATGAACAAATGTCTCTCTGTCTCTCCCTAAAATCAATTTTTAAAAAGTTTAATGTCAACATATTTTTATATATCAAGTGAAAATAAGTCAAAGATAAAGACACACAAAACACATCTTTTTTTACAAAAGCAAATAGAATTTGTTGCCAGTAAGCCTGAAATACAAGAAAAAGTCAAATCTCTTCAGGCTGGAAAAGAATCTCTGATGTACAAAAAGAAATGAAATGTCAGAAAGAGTAAGTATGTGCATAAATATAAAATGTTTATCTTCAAAATATAATTAAAAGATGACTGGCTATTTAAAACAGAAATAGTAATGATCTATTATTACCTTTATAACAAATATAAGAAACTTTAAAAAAGAATTACACCATTTGTTGAAAAGACTGTCTTTGTCCATTGTTATGTCCTTGCCTCCTGTCAAATATTAATTGACCATAAAGGCATGGGCTTATTTCTGTGCACTCTATTCTGTTACACTGATCTATAATGCCTGTTCTTATGTCAAAACCATGCTGTTTTGATAACTAGTAGTATAATTTATTATCAGGTAGTGTGTCACCTCCAACTTTGTTCTTCTTTCTCAAGATTGCTGAGGCTATTTGGGGTCCTTTGTATTTACGTATAAATTTTTGAAATATTTGTTCTAGACCTGTGAAATAAGCAGCTGGTATTTTAAGAGGAATTGCACTACATCTTTAGACTGCTTTGGGTAGTATGGACATTTTAATGATGATAATTTTCCCTATCCATGAACATGGTACATGCTTCGACTTATTTATATCTCCCTTAATTTCTTTCTTCAGTATCTTATAGTTTTCTGAGTACTGGTCTTTAATCTCCTTGGTGAAATTAATGCCTATATATCTTAATTATTTTTGTTGAAATAGTAAAAGGGATTGTTTCCTTATTTCTCTTTCTGATAGTTTACTATTGGTGTATAAAAATGCCACCAAGTTCAGACTATTAATTTTGTTACCTACTACTTTACTGAATTAATTTATTAGATATAATAGTTTTATGGTGGAGTCTTTAGGGTTTTCCATATATAATATATCATCTGCAAAAAAAAAAACAGTTTTACTTCCTCCTTTCCAATTTGGATGCCTTTTATTTTTCTTCTTCTCTAATTGCTGTGGCTAATACTACCATCCTCTATAACAGCGGTTCTCAACCTGTGGGTCGCGACCCCTCTGAGGGTCGAACGACCCTTTCACAGGGGTCGCCTAAGGCCATCGGAAAACACATATATAATTACATTACAATTCATAACAGTAGCAAAATTACAGTTATGAAGTAGCAACGAAAATAATTTTATGGTTGGGGGTCACCACAACATGAGGAACTGTATTAAAGGGTCATGGCATTAGGAAGGTTGAGAACCACTGCTCTATAATAAAAGCCTAATATGCTAAGTGTCTGGTCGTCCATTCAACCACTCAAAGCACAATATGCTAATGAATGCTAAGGCCGCTCAATCACTTGCTAAGACATGCACTGACCACCAGGGGGCAGATGCTCCGACTGGTAGGTTACCTTTCTGCTGGGGTCCGGCTGATCAGGACTGAGCAAGATGGGCCGGACATACTCTGGAGCCCTCCTGCTGTCTGTCCCCAGTTGGCCAACCTCCTGTGTCCCTCCCCGGCCCCAATCATGCACCGGTGGGGTCCCTCGGCCAGGCCTGCGCCCTCTCACAAACCAGGACCCCTCGGGGGATGTTGGAGAGCTGGTTTCGGCCCAATGGCGGAACAACCAGTCTATATGACACACACAGACCACCAGGGGCCAGATGCTCAATGCAGGAGCTGACTCCTAGTGGTCAGCGTGATCCCACACGGGGAGTGCCGCTCAGCCAGAAGCCGGGCTCATGGCTGGTGAGTGCAATGGTGGTGGTGGGAGCCATTCCTGCCTCCATGGCAGCGCTAAGGATGTCTGACTGCCAGCTTAGGCCCCCAGACTACAAGAGGGCACAGGCCGGGCTGAGGGACCCGCCAAGTGCACGAATTTCATGCAGCGAGCCTCTAGTGTTGAATAAAAATGGTGAGATAATTTGCAGCCGGGAAGGGCAGAGGACCCCTGGAGAAAGGTAAAAATCAAGGATCTTAGCAGGAGAGATTTGCCAGAGGCCGTATGGTTTCCCTCTGACCCTCCGCCCCCATTCGAGGAGCAGCAGCCTCATGACCAGCCCACCCCTGTCCGAGGAGCAGCAGCTGTGCGGGCAGCCTCCCCCCATTAGCCAGAGGAGCCACCACTGCTGCGAACAACACTCACCAGAGGAGCCGCTGCCAACTGAAGAGCAGCCACTGCTGCGACTGCCCGAGAAGCAACTGCAGCCCGAGGAGCCACTGCCACCCAAGAAGCAGCCCCTGCATGACTCGACTTCTCTATCTGTCAGTGAGATTAAAAATAGGTAGACAAAGAAATCCCCAAAGGAAAGAAAAGGAGGAATAGCCAGAAAAGCAGCTAAGTGAAACAGAGGCATGCAAAATCTCAGACATATGCCGAAGCAATTTCTTCATCAATACTGCTCCTAGGGCAATGGAAACTTAGGAGAAAATAAACAAATGGGACTACATCAAAATAAAAGGCTTCTGCACAGCAAAAGAAACCATCAACAAAACAACAAGAAAGCCCACTGCATGGGAGAACATATTTGCCAATGTTATCACCAATAAGGGTTTAATCTCCAACATTTACAGGGAACTCATACAACTTAACAAAAGGGAGATAAACAACCCAATCAAAAAAATGGGCAACGGACCTAAATAGATACTTTTCAAAAGAAGACAGAAGGAAGGCCAAGAGATATATGAAAACATGCTCTAAATCACTAATTATCTGAGAGATGCAAATCAAAACGACAATGAGGTACCATCTCACACCTGTCAGAATGGCTATCATCAACAAATCAACAAACGACAAGTGCTGGTGAGGATGTGAAGAAAAAGGAACCCTCGTGCACTGCTAGTGGGAATGCAGACTGGTGCAGCCACTGTGGAGAACAGTATGGAGTTTCCTCAAAAAATGGAACTAAAAATGGAACTCCCATTTGACCCAGTGATCCCACTTCTAGGAGTATATCCCAAAAACTAGAAACACCAATCAAAGGATATATGCACCCCTATGTGCATAGTGGCACAATTCACCATAGCTAAGATTTGGAAACAGCCTAAGTGCCCATCTGTAGATGAATGGATTAGAAAACTGTGGTACATCTACACAATGAAATACTATGCTGCTGTAAAAAAGAAGGAATTCTTACCATTTGCAACAGCATGAATGGAGCTGGAGAGCATTATGCTAAGTGAAACAGGCCAGTCAGAGAAAGATAAATATCACATGATCTCACTCACTTATGGAATATAATAAACAATATAAACTGATGAACAAAAACAGATTCAGAGACAGAGAAGAATCGATCAGACCGTCAAACCTCAGAGGGAAGGTAGGGGAGGGTGGGGGTAAGGAGGAGAGATCAACCAAAGGACTTGTATGCATGCATATAAGCCTATCCAATGGACAAAGACAATAGGGGGGTGAGGGCATTAATGGGGGGTGAGGGCATTAATGGGGGGATAAGGACACATATGTAATACCTTAATCAATAAAGAAATGTTTTAAAAAAAGAGGTGCACTTGGTAGCTGGGTCAGGCAGGTGGCACTGCTGTACTAAGAAATAACCTGATTACTTTTGCAGCCACAGAATCACAACTAATACTATGATTTTCTTTTCTTTCCTCATGGGATAATACACTGTTTGTGTTGGATGACGTGAAGAGAGGACATGGAACAGCCCATGAACGGGAGAAGCTCCTGCAAACTTATAAGCATTCACAGGATAAGTATGTTAAAAATGTCAACACCAAATATACACATTTGGCAGAGGAAGCCAAAACAACAGTACACTGAATAGGCTCCGAGAGACTCCACCCACAACTTTAGCTTTTCTTGAATTTAAGTGTTTTTCCCTCTGCAGAAACACACATCCAAAAGGACTATAGCCATAGCTCCCAGGAGATGACATTATTTTCTGCTAGGAACATTGGGAGTGCAGGGGAGTGCAGGAGGAATGAGGAGGTAGGGGGCTTTTCTTGTAATAGGCCCTCACTGTGCCGCTTCCTCCTCCTTAGCTCTGAGCTCCTGCAAGCACCTAGGTCCAGGGCCCCTTAATATGCCCTTGTACAGGCTGCTACAACTCCATCCTGCAGTCTGAGCTTGCTCCTTACTGTGTTTTCTCCCCACAGGACCCGGTAAGATGGTGCTTGAGCACCTCTATCCAACAGAGCTATAACAGTTTGAATCCCTCTCCCCACCCCTGAAGCTCCCTACCCTGCTTGGCTTTTATCTTAAGCAGCTGAGGTTAGAGCAGAGGAAGAGAGGAGTTAGAGTGCACAGCAGAAAAGAGGAGCTCTTAAGAGGAGCTCTGCACCAATAAGCCAGACTTCGCTTTGCATTTACTTTCAATTTCAAGTGGCTGTCTACTTGGATTCAATAAATGAACTTACAGGGTATTCAGTCTCACCAAACCTCTGTATATTCTCTTTGCTGACACCTTTATTTGAGCTCTGGCGAGCCCTTGATTCAGGAGCCATAGCCACACTTACTGCTGTCTACCTAGGACCCAGAGGCTTGCTGCCTCACTGATGGAATAACATTCTTTCCTCCTCTAGTCTAGAGAGTGAGCAATGATCTAAAGCACCATTGAAGCAGCTTCGTTTAATTTACCTCTCACTGCTTAGCTTCTAAAAAGTCAGTATGGAATCTACTACCTACCACTTAAACAAGACCATTTGCTACTGAATCTCAAATTCCCTAAACTGGCCCACAATAACCCTTGTCTTTGCTCTTACAGAAAAGCCATGTTTCTGTCAACATTACATCCTTGTTGCCAAAACTGTCAAAAATTGTGAAGGGTCTAGGAACTTACCCTACTTGCAAGCTACATTGCTATGATATTTCTATCATAGATGCTG